TTTTAAAATTTTATTCATTTATTTTCAACTATTCTCATAGTTTTTTTACACTATCAATTTTTTTATCAGTTTATTATTTTTATATCTGTATTATTTAAATTAGTTAAACTTATTAAATATTTAAATGAATAACTAGGGTTTTAATTTTTCTTTTTAAAAAAACGCCTATATTACCTAAACATCTTTTTTACGTTGAAAAGACAAGAGGATTAGGTGCATGATGTAACGCGGGACACTATCTATTACCTAGCACTAATCTTCAAAATGAAAGAGAATAGTTACCCCTGTCGTGTAGGTTTTTAGATCATATTTATCCTTATAATTTCGTTTTGTTCATTATTTTTCTTGTATTTGCAAATATAAGCAAATTCTTGATATAATGTTCAAACTAAAATCGAAATCACAGGGGCAAATAAAACTAAAACCCAAACCACAAGGACCGGTAACGTTTTTTACCTCAAATTAAAATATATAAACACGGATCATCAACCACATCTTAATCCGTGCTGTATCACATAAGAAGTCACTTGCGTTCAGTTCTACCCATCCCTTGTGATTTTCTGAAAACATTCGAGTTAATGTCATTTATCAAAATGATGTATATATAAAAATTAGAAACTCGATAATTACATGGATCATTTAAATCATATAACATCAACAGTTTAGACTTTTAAAAAAAAAAAAAAAAAAACGACATGTTATTATTCTACAACTTTAAAATCGAGATAAATGTTTAAATTTTTTACATACACAATAAAGTTAGTGTCTGAATTTACAGTAATTGCTATTTTTTAAAAATAATTTGTATTTAAAAATGCATCAAAATAATATATATTTTTTTAAAATTATTTTTAATATCAATACATTAAAATAATTTAAATTTTTAAAAAAATAATTTAAAATTCTAAAAATTATACATTAAAATAATTTAAAATTTAAAAAAATCTAAAACTTTTTAAAATATGACAATACCTTCTTTTCAACGCGTTTGTTAAAGGTTAAAATAAAGGAGATGCTTTCAGGGTAATATAGCTTAAAATCGGTAGTTGGGACTAGGGGATATGATACAGGAGCTACATAATAATATTAAATTGCATTAAATTATAAGATAGTTACCAATTAATATTTTTTTAAAATAAGTAATAAAAAGTATTCTTAAAAAAAATTTATCAAAAATCTCACCCTAAGTAATAAAAAGTATTCTTAAAAAAAAAATTATCAAAAATCTCACCGAATGAAAAACTTAACATCCTTCATTAAAAACAAAACACTAAAAGATCTTAAGAAAAAAAAAAAGTTTGAGCAACGCTCGGTCATTAAACTTCTTGCACGTTCGAGTGGTTTTAAATATTATTTTTATAAAAAAATAAAATTAATTCATAGCACTTTAAAAAAACAAAATAAAAAGTATATCACCTATTAAAAATTTAAACTCTTCTTAACAAACTTAAATATTAAAAAAAATACACTCAGCCCTTAATATTTTTATTTTGAATTTAGTTTTGAAAAAAGACTCGACCTTTTTATTTTCTAAAAATTATATTTGGTAGGCATCTTACGATCTACTACAATATAGATACTGTTTAAAAATATAATAACAGCTATTGTTTAAAATAATTTTTATAAAACACTGTTTATTTACCTACGCAGCGTTTCCATAAGGTTTCTTACGGTGAAAAAAGTCTACCACAAAGAAGGGCCGGTGAGGACTAGAGAAAATTTAAGCTGGTGGCATGACTAAATACCATAATATTGTTTGGTGATGACGCAGCACGGTTGGTGAGCATTTATAAAACCATTTTTAAACTCACTAAACATGCAATGAGAGAAAACGAATATACAACTAGTAAAACGGTCTCGGCGGGGCTTGGAGGCCCCAGTTTAGCAGGCCCTCAGCCTTCCCAACCCAACCCAACTCGGAAGAGTTGACTCGGTCAGTGATTGCAGTTTGCAGAAGTCAATACCCATAATCACACTGAAGGAAATTGTTTGTGTCGTTGTAAGAGAGCTTCCGAGTTGACTCGGTCAGTAATTGCAGTGTGCAAGGTCAATACCCATAATCACACTGAAGGAAATTGTTTGTCATTGTAAGAGAGCTTAGAAATGGGAGAAGAGGAATGCATCCACTAATTCCTCTGCCTCTATGTGGTGTGCTCCAATGGGTCAAGCGGAGCCAAAGACTTTCCGATTGTCTTAAAGGTCACTTTGACGTGGAGAATGATCGTCCGTCAAACTTTGAATAACAAGTATCCGAAAGGGCGAGCAAATTTATATTCAATTCAACTCGACAGCGGTCATCTTTTATTTATTTATTTTTATTTAGTCAAACTGTATGGTTAGGTGAAATAGTGTTTTTTTTTCTTCTTATTTGTTCTTGCTTTCCTCCCTTCCTTTCATCACCGCGTGTCGTTGTTTCTAGCTGGAATGTCTCATTGAGAATCCATGTGGGTATAATTCTGGTTTTTAAGTTCCAAGCATGGATGTTGTACCTATAACTCTTAGAAACTTCTATTCCAAATTATTTTTTGTCCTAATATATTTATTTAATTGACTAACAACAATTCCGTGCAGAATTTTAAAACTCGAATCGGTCTGGTGGGTTGACCCTAGACCCGACCGACCCGAGCTTGGAACTGGTCCGGGTTTAGGCAAAAATCCACTCAAGAATTAGTCTGGAAAAACCTGGTTGATCTGGCAGATCAACTTGGGATCCGATCCACCAGGCCAAATCCAGGTGAGACCTGATCAATTTTTTATTTATTTTCACTGTCATTAAACAGGTTTTACTTAATCTACTACTCACAAAACCTGAAATCCCCCTTTTTTCCCTGGTCTTGTAGGAAGATTCCAGGCAAGGCAAAGCAACTGTCAGGTCAGGACGACACCTTTTTTCTTCAATCTTTATTGCTGCTCTCCACAAACAAATGGTCATTTGGGGTGGTTTCGGGTTTTGCAGAGAATATAATGATGGTGCAGAGAGAGAGAGAGAGAAGAACATAAGATAAACAAAAAATTAAGAAAACAAGAGTGGGGAGAGGCAATAATTAGGAGTTGGACCAGTGTTTCCTTACTGCTTCCTTCGTTCTGTGGTTTTGAGTTTCCTTTGCCATTCTTCTCCGAAGTTGGCTAATCTTCCAACCAAGTAGTGAGAATATGAAAGGTCAGCATGTAGATGATGCCGTTATCAGGTCTTCGAATTGAGTTGGAAGACGAAAACGATCTTCGGGCCAGCGATTTGGCTGGCTATATTCAGTAGCATTCGCTAATCTTTTGGTTAGAAAGAAAATAATGGAAGCAGGTGCTCCGAGTGAAAATATGAAAGATTAGCATGTAGATGATTTTTTTTTTTGGGTTGATCCAGTTCAATCTTTAATCCATGATTTGATAATTTGATTAGATTTATTTAATCTATGATTTGATCATTTGATCAGAGGATCAGATTTCAAAACTATAATTTTGTTTAATCTATGATTTGATCATTTGATCAGATTAATAACTGGATGAGATTTCAAAACTATAATTTTATATCATGGCTCTTTCAATTGAGACGTGTATAGCAACCGTTCATGTCGCATTGTCATACATATTTTTAATTGATTTATAACCATTGATAACAAATTGTTCATGAAAACTTAATTAAAATTAGTTTTTTATTATTAAAATTTTAAATGAATATGAACATAATTATAATTTTTTTAGTTTTTAATTACACAAAATATGAATATATTATTTTTTATATTTTGTTAACTTGCTTTAACAATTATAAAATACTTTTTTTAAAATGATTTCAATTAAAAATGCCGTGTTGATAAAATAAATAAGATATATATTAATATAAAAATTTATTTTCATGGATAAAATTTTAACAGGTAAAACTCAAAACAATTATATTTTTTGGGTTTAATAATAATACGGATAGATTTTCCCAGGCCTGTATCTCTCTATAATATGCTGTAACTTAACCTCCCCATTCCTAGCTAACAATTCTAACAACTCTGGAGCTGTTAAAATCAAAGAAAAGTTAGCATCAACCTGGACAGACTGATTAAAAATAAGACTAGCCAATAAAGAGTGTGATCCCAAGATAAGCCGACGGAATCCAAGCGATGTAATTAAATCATTAAAAATATCTGGAAATGTAATAGTGTTATTTTTTATAAAAAAAATTATTTTTAATATTAATATATTAAAATAATAAAACAATAAAAAAATAATTTTAAATAAAAAAATATATTCAAATTTTGTTGAAACTATTGTGTCTAAGAAGCTCACGCGGGTCATAATATAATGTATTCTAAATGCACATGTGAATTAAAGGTATGTTTAAAAATGTGGTACAAATAATAAAATAGAATTAAAGGTATGTTTAAAAATGTGGTATAAATAATAAAATAATAAAAAATAATTTTAAATAAAAAATATATTTAAATTTTATTGAAATTATTGCATCTAAAAAACCCATATGGACCCACACGGGTTATAATATAATGTATTTTGAGTGTACATGTGGATTAAGAATATGTTTAATAACGTGGTACAAACTATATTTTTTAAAATTTTTATTTTTTATTTAAATAATTTTTTTTATAGTTTTAAATTGTTTTAATATGTTTTTAAAAAATTTTATTTTAATATATTTTTAAATAAAAAACATTTTAAATCCAAACCCACCTTAAATATGTAAAGAGAGTTCTTCATTCAAATACGACACTCCCGAGAGGAGAGCCAACCCGCTCTTGCCTTCATGCCTCAGGGAGTACCCTGGAGGATAGGCTGGGGTTGAACATCCTGGGTTAGGCCAATCTACCCTCCACAAACTACATGGATTAACTGCGCATGTATTAAATACATGCATGCTCTAGAGACACGTGGCACCCACTAAACGACGTTGAGGTTTGGCATCAACTTGATCCACCAGTCCCTGGAGCTAATTCTTTTAATGACGATTTACCACTGTAATTAACAGGGAGACTACCATTTTACCCTCAAGTCCGTTAAATTATCAAAACTCATGGCTACATAAACAGTTGTGAGTTTTAAGATCAAAGTTTTTGAACTTCATCTTCTTTAACTCTTGTATTCATTCTTAGTTAGTGCATTCAAGCTCCACCACAAATATCTATTCAAATTTCAAGGGTGTTCGAGAGTGGATTTCAATTTTTTCAAATAAATTTATCCTGAAACTATTCGCTTCTAGCTTAGAATTGAGATGCTATCCAGTTAAGTATTTTCCAAGGAGAAGTTCGTTATTTCCAAAGAGAAGTTCGTAGCCTGGTATAACAATTCTTCTATTTATACCTATCAATGTCCTTAAATAGTGTTGAAAATTTGGAGAGATCATACCATAGCTACTAGCTAGCTTTAAAAATAATGAAGTACAAATCTCACACCATTGCACTTTTTTTTTCCATGGCTCCACCATTTTTGTTTCTTCTATTTCTTAGCGATTAATACACGGGACCAACTCCTTTTCTGTTACAGGTTGGAAAGGGGATTTTTTCAGGCCAGGACAATCAACTCAATTCCGATAATAAGCCAAAGACCTTGGATTTCATGTACATGTGAATTGCAGCTAAGTTTACTTTCATGGTCACCATTATTTATAGATGAAACAACTCTTTCGGTCACCAAAGTAACAGCAATGGGTAGACTTTCAGGAGCCAGTGGCTTTGCGACTGTCGTAATATCTATGAAGACCTCGTAATCTCCGTGGGCTCAGATATATCATGTTCTACCTGAACCACATTTCACCTAATCAAACTAAAATTGTTAATTTCGTTTCCTTTTGCTTGTAATAGCTGAAATATTTTACATTAATTTAAAATATAAAATAAAATAAAATTTTTATTTGTTTTAAATTTACAAACAAAACATTTTTTATTTTATTTTAAATTTTAGTTTGTTTTGAGTTTTTTAACTAAATTTCAGCTGTAATGTTTCGATTTCATTTCAAATATTCCGCTCCGATCTTAAAAGTCATTAAATTAAATTAAATATAGTTTAATTTAATTAATGAAATAATCAAAATATAAAAGGTTATTTATTATTATTATTTTATTAACAATGATATTATTTTTTTAAAATTAAATTTATCATTAATATATATAGTTTATATTTATATTGTTTTTTTTTATATTTATAGTTTATAAAAATTTAAGAAAAATAAAAAATATTTTAGATAACTTTGAACTAGATTTTATATTAAAAATATTCATGTTAAAATATTTTATTTTTATAATATTTTGATATTTTATTTACATTGAATTGAATTAGAGATATATTTAATTTTAACTATTTATAAATATTTTAAAATTTAAAATTATATTTATTTTATATTATATTTGTATTATATAATTTATAATTAATTTATTTTAAATTTGAATTATATTTAATGAATTTATGCTATAATTTTTAATATACGTGTGTTTGAGAGAGAGAGAGTGAGAGAACAGTATAACTCGAAAGTACACGCTAAAATAGTCTGAACTAAAATATTCTATTTCAATTAAAAAACAAAACACGAAGTGTACAACTTGCATCAAACACGTAGAGTGTTAATTTATTTTAAATTTGAATTATATTTAATGAATTTTATATATAATTTTTAATATACGTGTGTTTGAGAGAGAGAGAGTGAAAGAACAGTATATTCTATTTCAATTAAAAAACAAAACACGAAGTGTACAACTTGCATCAAACACGTAGAGTGCCCAGAGAATGTGTCCAATGGCCATTGCATCCTCATTGAGGTTGATCTTTTGTGGAACAATCTCCAACCTCTTGCGGCAATACATCAACTGAAGTTTTAAACCAGCAGCCTTTGCTGCAGCTGGCACGACAAAAACCAGGCTTCCACCCATGACGTCAGGATCCACACCAACAATAGCATATGTCCTGAATACACCAAAAATGGGCGATCCCTTGCGCACAACAACACTTCATTTCATGAGCAACACAACCCCAGCGTCATCACTGATTTGGCTAGAATTCCCAGCAGTGCTGATCCCATCTTTCTTAAACACGAGCTTTAATTTCCCCAGACCTGCTATTGGCGGTAGTGGATGGGGGAGATGGTGATCTGATGTCTGCTTCAGGTGGAAGATTTGGGCTTGCGTTGTTTTTTCTATATCGTCGGTGGGTATGGTTTTTTTGTTGAAGATGGGGACAATGGTCTTGGCGTAGCCGTGGGTATGGTGGAGCTGTTTTGTCTGGTTTTGCTGGTAGTGGCTGGGGGGTTATTTGCGGGTAAAGGGATGTTTGGGTTTGTTTCGGTAAAGATTCTACTTGGTTTTGATTGAGATTTCAAGCTGGAATTTGAGCTAAGATAAGCTATAATTGGGTCTAGTTAATTGGGACTTTCATGGCTGATTTTGAGCAGATTTTAGTAATATTTGGCGGCGAAGACGGCTTTGATCATGGCTGATTTGGGTCTGGTCTCCTGGAGAGAAAGAGACGGTGAAGGTTCGGTTTAGTGAGGGAATAGGTTTTCTGGTATGTGGAAGGTGCGTTTGGTTGTGAGGCCAGGGTCTTGTTTGAAATTGCTTTTCAACGTTGTTTTTTTCTTATTTTTTTTTTTAGTTTTAAATTATATTTTAAGTATTGTTTGATATTTTGTTGTGATAATTCAAAAAATAAATTTTAAAAAACAAAAAACGCACTTTTAAGAATAAAATTTACCACAGGAGACTTGAGGGACAGGCTGTGGTTGGTGTCAGGAGCTGGACAGTTGGTTGCTTGGTGAGTTTTGGTAGTAAATGGAGAAGGATCGTGTGTGGTTGCTGAATGAGGGGCGTGTGGTTAATTGGGGCAGCTAGGTAGTTTTTTTTCAAAAAAAAATCTTTTGGAAGACAGTGAATATTTTTTTTGGAGGGAATTTTTATTTCACTCTCTTTAGCTCTCTTTTTACTTTTTTTTTTTTAAATATTTTTGTCTCCAAATTTTCTATATTTTTATTTATGAATCTCACTTCTAAATTTATGTATTTTATATGACTCGAGAATTTGGTAGTATCCCGGACACTTCACAGCCACTGGACTTGGGGATTTAGGTGAATATTTTCAAGGGAATCCTTGGAGACTTGAAAATCAGGTAGCGAGACATGAAATTTTGTAAACCTTTTCAAGAGAAACCTCAGAAACTTAAAATTTTGATGAATCATTTTGGAGGATTCTTGAAATCTTGAACTTTGGTGAATATTTTAGAGGATCATTAAGAACTTGAAATTTCAGTGAATTCTTTCAAAGAATCTTTAAGATCTTGAAGATTTGAGTACACTTGAATAAACATATGGCTGCCGAGTATTGCTTTGAACCTTTTTTTTTTTTTTTGAAAGGAAAGGCTTCTACTCCTAAAGTAAAGTTCAAGATTGTCATCAGGTATTATGTCCATTTAATGGATGGATTGTTAACGGTCATCTTTAGCCCACTGAAAAAATATATTTGCTTTCCAAAAATTAATGTGAAACACCATCACACTGACAAGACAGAACAGCTATACTTGTAGCATACAAGCCCATGATAGATTACTACGATGTCAAAGGGATAATTTTACTTCGAGAATCAGATATAAAGATCATTAGTGAGTACCTTACGAGTGACAAATAGTTTTTAAAATCTATATAACAGGTGCATGTTTTAATATTTTTAATTTATTTTAAAACTAGTTGACAAGTTTATTGTTTCAATTTTGCTATTAATTTTTGGAAGTCTCGGTGCCATGCCGAGTGTGAGATCGGAGAGCCAACTCATTGGTGCACCAAAATGTTAAGAAAAGGTATGAAAATGAGACGTCCAACATGCTACCAGCAAGGCCACAATAATTTGACATGCCCGCGTAAAATGGATATTGAGTATACTCAAGAGAATAATTTGTAAATTCCCCCCCCTCAAATTTTATATTTGCGTGTCGAGCTACCAAACTTTTATATTTGTTTCTTCGCCTCTCGTCATGTTCCCTGCACAGAAACGACCTGATCTGATAATAATTACTCATAATAAGGATAGCATAATTATCCCCACCCAAGTTTAGTAGAATGGATATTACCATTGCAGGTCCGGGCCCAAATCAAACGTGTAGGGCTGTGAATCCGACTGCACCCATTTTAAAAGAAACGGCTGACGCCTGACGAAGTTGACGGTAACGGAGAGCACCAAATGTGAAATCCACAGAAGTCAAAAGGCTAATCCGATGAAATAAAACAGTAAAAAATCAACAGCAATGGCTTCGAACGGAAACCCTAAATTTCAGCTCCCCGTGTTACTCTCCCAATAAAACAACAATGGTCCTATTATTTCCATGGAAACCACTCCTATCTCTCCTACTATTCCTCTCCCTATTCTTTTACGAACACTGGATTTCAATCCCTTCTTGCAACATCGTACCCAACACAGATCTCAACCAACAGGAACACGACGTCGTTGAAGAGGAAAACGACAACGATGAGGTTTTGAAAGTCATGTTGGTTGCCAATTTATTACTCTTAGGATCTGACACTAGCTTTTTTAACCTCTATTTTAGAGATTATTACATGTCCAAGGTTTTCAAGGTAACAACAATTCATCTCTCTCTCTCTCTGTCTCATTCTCTCTTTCTCTCTCTCTTTTTTTTAAACTTTAATCTCGATGTTTAATTAGAAGAAGAAATCGATTCTAATCTTTTCTATGGGAAACAGAAATCTTTTTATTCTTTAAAGCCTGACATGCTGCTGGTAATGGGGGATGTTTCGGCGAGAGGGTCGACATTGACGAGGGGTAAATGGGTATCAGTGTTGCATCAGTTTCATGGAATGATAGGGCCATTTATTGAACTTCCATTTCATGTTGTTCTTGGTGATATGGATGTTGGAGGGTGCAGTGGGCTCGACTCAAATTCAGTTTATTGGGTAGCTAGGAGTTTTCCGGGGCTAGATTCATCTGGTTGTGGTGCGTTTGATATTGACAATGTTAGTTTTGTTTCCCTTAACGCGGTTGCATTGCTTTGTGGTAATAATAAGTTGAGGTTTAGTGTTGAGAAGGCTGTAGAGATGGAAAGAATAGATTCATGGATGGATTCGGAGAAAGAAATGAGTGATTATGGAGAATTTACGAAAACGTCTGATAGTTTTGGGCGGAGAAAGGATTTAGTGACATCTGGATTAGGTCCTGTCCTCTTACTTCATTTTCCATTGCATCAAGCGGAAAATGGTGGTTGTAAGGAAGGGAATATTGTTAGAAAAGCTCCTATGCCCTTACGTCAGGGCTTGAATGCATTAGAGAGTAGCAGGTGGGTGCAATTCTTGCATATGCTGATATCAATGGATTTTTATTCTTCGCATGTTTTCACTGCTAATAGTGATAGGATCCTGTCATGTTAACAGTGATGTTTTGCACACTTTTTTCATGTCATATAATCAATATTTGTTTATGCACTCATCACTTTAAGTTAAACGTGGAGGTACAAGCATGATGTTGAGCTCCCTGTGTTATTGTTGAGCGATAGCCAAGACATGGAGTCATATGTTTTCTAAAGTTTTGCAATGCTTAGTTGTCTTCCGATGGTAGTGTATAGTCCTTTCTACGTGCCTTTTATTTTGTCTTATGAATTTGCTTGCTTGAACTTGCGTGATTGGGAGTTCTGTTTCTTAAAGTTTCCTTATTGTTTCCTTCAGGGGATATACTGGTGCTCCCTATGAGTTATGGCATACAATCCCTCCAAATGCTACGCAGTACATATTTCAGGCTCTTAAACCAAGGTATTCTTACAAATCTTTATGCATCATGGATACTAGTTGCATTTATTGTGGAAAAGAGAATATTGGCCGATAATGTGTTTCACATACTCATCTCGAGTTTAAAGAGCAGATGAAGTAGATATACTAGTATTGTTGATGCTCGATGCATTCTGGTATTTTCCTAGAGTGCATCAAACAGTGACTTCTTAAGATGATTACCTGTGGCCCTTGCCCTTGTTTGCAGGATTGTTTTCAGTGCGCATACACATGAATTTTGTGATCATACACACTCAGATGGGACACGCGAGATAACTGTCCCTGCAATGACATGGAAAGCAAGGGATGACCCCGGGTTTGTTTTTGCCACATTCAGAAGTGGTGGGAATACTGTGAGTGTCAGCTACTGTTCCCTTGCTAGGGAATCTCATGTACTAATAGCATACACTTTGATTTTGTTTCTGCTAATCACATTAGGGCTTGTGGCAAATAAACCTTACAACATGTGTCTAAGATAGTGATGGGGAAATCCCTCTCCTATACATTTTTGTTGCATTCTTCAAAATTATGACCTTTCTTTTTTCTTACTGTTAATCATGAAACAATCATTTCTTTAGAATCAGTGAAACAGAGATACAGGGGCAGGCCAGTCTGGGAAATTCTCATTTAGCATCACTATTTTCCATTTCAGTTATTTTTTTTTTGCAATGCCCCTATTCATCACTAGGTATTTTGGACAAATATACCTGATTTTGTCAATTTATTTGTGTGCTTCTACTTCTTGCTAAAGGCAGCAAATAGAAGTTGTGATATAATGATATTGTTCAAATAGTGATGTACATATACATGATGCGTGTCTCACAATCCTCATAGGACAAAGAAGCTTGAGCAATTCTAATATTCTAAGAATTGAGTACCATGTCGGCATACTAAACTTCTAGAGAGAAAGGATCGACTGCATTTCTTTATGCTCCAATAAATTCTCCTTAATTCTATGTTTTTTTAAAAAAAATTCAATTAGTTATGTGCACCAATCACATAAAATTTAATATGTATATGATAAAATTCAACTTAAAGCAATTCGGTTATGGTTTTCACGCAAGTTTTAACACTCAAAAACTTATTCTGCTGTTTATATATAATGATGTATGATGTTAGTCTGGAGACAAGTTATTCTGCTCTTTGGCTTATAGGCAGTGTCGTTTTGCAAAAAGCGTACGTTTTTTTATGATGGGTCAGATGAATCACACGAGTATGGAGGCTGTGGTTCAGATGACGAAGGACATGAGTAAGGATGCTGTGGA